AAAAAAAAAAAAAAATCAAAAATAAAGGAACAAAAATGGTACTGTACTGTCAAAGAACCACCAGAGATAATAAGAACAAATGTTTGTAACAAATTGTAGAAGTTTCAGAAGATAAAATATGTTACAGTAATAAACAATAAAAGGGGGAATTGGAAAGAGACCAAAATGTAATTTTTCAAAAGAGCCTAGAAAACAACAAGAATCTTGAATGAATAAATCAAGAAAAAAAAAAATGAATAAATCTTTAATATACCTCTTTGTTGACGACATGTAATGAAAAATAAGCACACAAAAACAAGCAGTAAAAGAGAAGGAGCTCGGGACCCAAGAAGAAGAAGAAGAAAGAATCCAATGAAACTATATTAAATTCTTGTTTTTTGTTACTACATGCTCAAGTAAAAAGATTGGATTTTTATTTTCTTTTCTTTGTGGGATTTCTTACCGGTGATGCAAACGAATATATGTGAACCTTTTTTGTTAAAGTTCTTGGAAAGTTAGCTAGCTAATTGTGAGAGACATAGTACAAGAGCTTCTTTCTTAACAATGGCAGTTTTCAATTTCTAAAGTGATTCTAATGGTAAAATATCAAAAGCTCAAGTATACTATATTAATATTACTATACTATATTAATTTTTTTTTTCCTACACAGAGGTATCTCCATGTTCATCTAGGATATCGACGCCGAGCCCAAGCCATCATTCGGCCCACTTAGGAAGACTGACCAACGGTCGGGAGAATAGGTCCATATGGGTCAAGCCAACAGGCCAGCTTTCCACCACCAGAGAATGGGACAGGGGAAAATAGGGAGCCCCAACACCATTTCCACGATAGTCAGGATCGAACCCCTCACCTCGGCTTCACATGGAGTTTCACCCTCCCCCTTCGACCAGTTGTCCACACGCCCTGGGGCTATAATATATTAATTCGTTCTATAAAATCTCCCTATATATAATTCCCGAATGCGTTGAGCCTACGTGGCTGTTTCTGGTGTTTCGAAATCCTACTCGATGAAGAATTATGCTTCGTAATTAGGTTTGGACAAATAATATTGATATATAAATAATTAATAATTTAGGTTTGGACATTCCATAATTATTATTTAGCTAATTTAGGTATTTTAATATCACTTGTACTAATATAACCTTTTAATTCTTTGTGATTTTACATAGTGATACACTAAGTGACTAATATATCCATGACCTTTGATTTGTTTCCTTCAATTAGCTATTGAATTATAAATGTATTTTAAAAGTTGATAACTTTTGTATTTCTTATCTGTTTTACATATATAATATATCAAATTAATCATCTTTTCATGATCTTCGATTTGACATTCACATTGTATATATAAAATAAATAAATTATATTTACCTTTATAATAATAAAAATAATAATATTTATTAAAATTTATTAAAAAAATAAAATTATTTCTCAGTTGATATATTTATGTTTAATGTAGTTATATGTTGTAAGTTAAAAAACTATTATAATATAACACAAGTAAGTCACACAAATAAAAAGTGTCATACTAAATATATAATAATATATATATAGATAAAAGGTATTTAAATTTTCAGCTACTTCTCATTAATTTTAGATTTTAAGGAAAAAAAATTAGCAAGCACCCGTGTAATACACATGCGTTATACTAGTAATGTTAATACTATATTATCTTTCATCACTTCAATCATCAATTAAAAATTTTCACAATTAAAAACATATATAGTGACAATTTTGTGATAGTTTTGCAAGTGATCAAATAATAATACTCAAAAATATATGTAGAGAAAGTTATATTCATTTTAATTTTTGTGATTGATATTGTTGAATTTACATTATTCTTTATACTTTGGTATTATGGTATATATGTTCATATAAATCAAATTACCTTGTTTGTGCGTATACAATTGTACATGTTAGTTTTTAATCTATACTTATATAATATAAGCTATTTTATTTACCAAATTTAGTATGTTGAAAAGTCAACGTAATTAATTCATTGTTATTTCTATCCAGAATTTTATTTAATTATTTTATTTATTTGTCATATATCCCATAAAATCGGTTTAAGAAAAAAATCTCATAACATCCGATAAGTACAAAAAAAGTACATAAAATATTTATTAAAATAAAAAAAGACTTTATTTATTTGTCTTATTTCATAATAACATCGATTTAGTCAAAACAAATCCCATAAAATCGGTAAGTCAAAAATTGTACGTAAAATCTATCTATACTAAAAAAAGGCAGATTCAAAATTCCTTATTTAATTTCTGTTTAAAGCATTTTACTTAATATTTATTTTAATGAAATATTGGATATGATTGTTGGATCTGAGTCAATTTTGAAATCGCGTTGTTTGGCATGAGAGAATTATCCGCATTCTATATATGTCTAAAGCATATCATTTAATATTATTTAATTAATTAATTTAATATTTAATTATTTTATATATGACATCAGTTTTGTCAAAAAAAATAAACAAAAAAAAGGCAATGGATTAATTACCTTCGACTTATAAAAAGTTTATGGGTGGACGTAAATATTTAACAATGTTGTTTCAAGTTCCTTAAATAATACTATAACTATGCTGTTGAAATATAATTTGTTTTATGAGTGACGTAAATATATTATTTAAAGTTCCCTAAAACATTTTTTTAAAAACTATACTGTTTAAAGTTCCTTAAATATTAATATATTTAAAGTATACTCATGATGTAATATATTAAAGTCAAAACAATATTGGAAGGCTTTTGAATTATCTAATTTCAAATTATCTAAATTAATTAATTTAAATGTTTAATCCCATTAAATTTTCAATCCATGGAGTATTTTTACTAATTCCGTGAGCATGTTGTTTTGTTATTTTAATCAATTTATACACTATTTTACTAATAAATTATTTAATATCTATATATGTACAAGGAGGTCTTTAATAATATATGATTGTTTCTTTATAGAATACTATTTTATTGTATAATTTTTCTGCGTATTATATAACTTTTATTGAATATGCATCTTATAATATAATATTCCCCAAATAAATATATCTCGTGTCTCGCACATGTCCCGTACTATATATATCCAGTATATTTTTTTATTCATTTATATAATTATAAGGCTGAATAAATAACCTTAAAATTGTACACCTCGTGCATCGCACGAGCTCTGTACTAGTTTTTATAGAAGCTCAATGACAGACTTAATGCTATAGAAGTTCAATGACAGACTTAATGCTGAAGGAATAAAACTTGGTACAGATCAACATTTTAAGGCTAGCTAACTTCTTTTTTTTTTTTCAGATTAATTTTAAATTCCTACCTGTCCTTTTTTTTTAAAAAAAAAAAAGGTATTTGGATACGAGTATATAGTATATACTCTTGGAACACAATTTGTATAATTATTAATTATAAAGTGAAAGTAATTAATAACTATATTCCAATCTTGTACTCATAATTTTTTTCAAGACACTCCAAGATTGATCTCCTATGAATAAACACATATTATTTTATTGTAATACAACGTATCGATTAGACGCGTCGACTTATTATAATTTTTTCTTTTATCATAAATACGCACCATTGTTATAAAAATACCAAACTTTTTTTTAACCAAAAAAAAAAAAAATACCAAACTTTTCTTTATAATTGTTTTTTTGTTTTTTGGTTACATTTTAGTCTGAAAACATGTATGTTTGTCGAGAAAAATATAATTGTCTAATGATTAGGTCTGTCTAACTATTTTCACTGTGTGTTGAATGATTTATTAAGTAAAATATGTTCATATTTTTGGGTGAGTTATCTCTCTTTTTTTTAATATTTTTACTTTTTTAGGTGGGTTTCTTTCTTTTAGCTCTCTATCTATTTGTATCTATATGACTATCAAATTGATATATAGCTTATAATGTGCAAATTATTTATTACAAAATATAAAAGAAAAAAAAATAACTATAAAACATGTGCTAATTGCTATCCACCTCAAATTTTCATCTTTTCAGCTAGATATCTCATGAACTTTTCTCCATTCTCACCTTTTATCACCTTTTGTTCATGAAAAGTTAAAGAAAAATGATGAAAGTTTGTGAAAATAATGTGTATATATATGCCCCATTGCTTGATAAGTTGGTATAGTCAATCTATATTTATTTGATATATTATAATAACAAAGCTCATTTTAACTACTTTTTAGTTTTTACAATGGTTTTGTGTCCATATGAAAACTAATTAAATGTCCAATTATCATATATAATAGAAATAAAACTAAAGAAAAAATTATTAAATAATATTTTGTATTTACTTACAAAAATAAACATGTTTAGTGCTAAGATGTATGTATTGTGAGTCAAACAAGCACATCCAAAACATTATAAAAATAAATAAGAGCAATTATAGTGTTTGTATTATCAAGTGTGTCTCTTTCCATTATATATTAAAGTTGTTCGTCTTTTTGCTTAATAAGGACCATAATTTATTGAAATTACATGGGAAATTTACATACATAGACTCCGAAATATTTATATT